CCCCCCTCGCGCGCGCGCCTCCCCCGGCGCCCGAGGGGCGGGCGCCCGGAGGGCGGAGCGGCGGCGCGGGCCGGGTGGGAGCCTCCTCCACCTCCTCCTCCTCCTCCTCCTCCCCCTCCTCCTCCTCCTCCTCCTCCTCCTCCTCCTCCTCCTCCTCATCCTCCTCCTCCTCCTCCTCCCCCTCCTCCTCCTCCTCCTCCTCCTCCCCCTCCTCCTCCCCTCCTCGCGGGGGCCGGCCGTCCGGCGGCGCGGGCCAGGTGGCCAATAGGGGGACTTGCGGGCAATGCTTCTGTCTATATCCACGGCAGTGTGGGGTTTCGGGCTCCCTCCCCAAGAGACCCGAGGCGCACTGGATGTGGATAAGTGTGCCCCCCAGAGGCTCGATGTTTTTATCCATAGCCAGCGCGCCTCGGCCCTGTGGCGCCGCTTCCAAGAAAGTCCAAGAGGCACTGGCCATGGATATGAATGTTGCCCGCACTGGTTATGGAGGGTTGGCCCGGTAAGTGCACTCGAGCCGGTTCCGTCGTCAACGGCCGGGGTGTTAGGGGTGGAGCGTTTTCGCCTCCCCTTCCTATGGACGCCCCCCTCGCGCGCGCGCCCCTCCCGGCGCCCTGGGTGGGCGCCCGCCGGCGGAGCGGCGGCGCGGGCCGGGTGGGAGCCTCGAGACGGGGGTCAATGCAAACGGGGTTCAGCCACGGCACCAGATGCTGCAGGATCCTGCGAAGACCCCCGCTGGCTGACCCCTGGTTAGCGAGCCGCTCGTGGCCGCGAGGCGGCCGCGCATGTTGGCTGCTCCGGGTCTGCGAAGACCTGCGTTGCATTTTTTGTTTGTCCTGCATTGCAGTTTTTGGTTTCTTGCTGACCGGGGTCTGGATTGACCTGGGTCAGAAGATCCCTGAGCCGGGTGGCCAATAGTCCCTCAAGCAGTGGCGGAGCGTCCTGGCTCGCTTATAGCCCCACCAAGCAGTGTTCTAAGAACCTCTTGCGGTTCCCACGAAGTGTTCTTATGACAGTTCTGGCTGGGGCTGTCTTGTTGTAGCACCTCGGTTTATATTCCAAGAACAGTGTGGTTGTTCTTAGAACATTTTTGGGTTCTAAGAACATTTCGTGTACGACTATGGGAATGCCGGGACGGTCGGTCCCTGCTCAACCCCCTACCCCCCACGATTTCTGAGGGGGAGGGCGGGGTTCACGTCGTTCGGGAGTTCCCGAGCGAAGTGAAGCCCACCCTCCCCCTCAGAAATCGTGGGGGGTAGGGGTAGGGTTCGCAATGCGGCCCCCTAGCCAAGCCCCCCTTCCCCTCCTCTCTCTCTCGGCCCGAGCGGCAGGGCGTTTTTGGTCAGTGAATCTTGGCCGCTTTCGCATCGCGGGAGGGCGCGCCCGCCGGCGGATCGACTGCGCGGGCCGGGGGCGCCACTAGGGGGCCGCATGCGAACCCCACCCCTACACCTTAGGCGATGCTTAAGAAAACTCGAATTTTCGGCCAGAGTCTCGATTATTCTTAATGTTTCAATGTAAATCCTAAGATTTGAATAGAATCTTTGGGTTTTCATTCAAGTTCTGAGACAATGAATTTCTTAACCCATGATTTCTTAAGCATTTCGCAGGGTGTACCCCCCCCCCACGATCTCTGAGGGGGAGGGTGGGGTTCACTGCGCTCGGGAGCTCACAAGCGAAGCGAAGCCCACCCTCCCCCTCAGAAATCGTGGGGAGCAGGGGTAGGGTTCGCAATGCGGCCCCCCAGCCAAGCCCCCCTGCCCCTCCTCTCTCTCGGCCCGAGCGACAGGGCGTTTTCGGTCAGTGAATATTGGCCGTTTCCGGTTCGCGGGAGGGCGTCGCGGCTGTCATTTTTGCGGGTCCAGGTCCGTCGGTTTCGGTCCCAGGCCGTTTTCACTAAAGGGTGGTTTACTAAAGGGAGGTTTGTCCACCGCAGGCCGGACGAAAAAGGGGGGGAGAAGGGAAAGGGCGGGTTACGAAGTCTGCTGCATGCAGCTGGTTTCGGCCCCGCCGCCGGGCCCATTCCTCGATATACAAGGGCGCCTCCCGGCGCCGTGAGGCGCCGGGAAGATCAGCTACGTGAACCGAGTCTCAAGCCCCCCCTTTGAACGGAAAGAATGGTGCAACTCAGGAGCGAAAGACGAACGTGGACGTGCATGAATCCATGCTGGTTTGGAGAGCACGCACTGCGCGAGTAGTCGTATCACGCGGCGGGTCTCGCGGATCGAGGGACCATGTGGTGATGTGCATAGTTGGGCGCATACGTCAGTGGCGGGCTCCCTAACAGCGCCCAACAGCATTTCCTGATCATTTTGATGAACAGGACGCGCTCTCCGCGCCGCCGCAGACGCTGTTCTCTGAAGACAAAAAGCAGCCTGCGCATCAGCGGCCGCTGTCAGTTTTGGGCAGCATTGGTTGTTCTGATGCATTATATTAATTTTTGTCCGTGCCAATTTCGGGCGTCCAAGCCTTTGACCGAGTGCGTTCCATTGCTCGCAAAGTGTCTACTCGCAAACGTTCGGAGAAAAACACATGTCTTCCTCGATGTCACGGATCGTGAGTCTCCCGCGGTGGATCAAGGCCATCTGCGAGTAGAGAGTAGTCTGCGAGCGGTCTAACGCGCTTGTCTACTCCTGCTGCCCCCCCACGTCGTCTCGTCCGAACCGAGTGTGTACAGTGTACAGTCGGCCCGGATTAGTAGGTCGACCCTGCCAAATCAAGGGTACCTTTGTGTCATGTGTCTGGCGACCCGTGCCTCCTGCATTCCTATTGCAATGTGGCCCCGGGAAGGGTCTTTTGTCCTCTCGCGTGTCCTATCCAATGAAGTCCGACTGTAGCCAGCCAGGACCAGCACATGCCGAGAATAGGCGGCGAGCCCTCCCTCCTCCCTGCCTCCCTTCTCTCTCCTCCCTCCCTCCTCCCTCTCTCCTCCCTCCTCTCTCAACACGTACCGTGCTTGAAACGTCCGTGTCAACACGTTGCGTGTCGGCTCAGCGTATGGGCCCACGTTTTGGCGAACGTATCGCGCCAGACCTACGTGTTCGGTCTACGTGTTGAGCTCCGTGTCAGTACGCTACGTGTTGCGCGTTGCGTATCGGGGCAGTTGAGCTGAGAAGTGTTCCAAGCCTTCCTCGAGGACACAGGACGTGTTTCAGAACGCCGGGAGGCTTCCGAGGAGTCCCGCCGCCTTCTGAGAAGGCCTTCTCTCCCTCACTTCCGCCCCCCCTCGCTCGCCGACGAGCTGCCCGCTCCCCCCCCTCTGCCCGTCGCGTCCGACCTGAAGTCGGGCTTGCCCCTCTGCAGGGGCGAAATTCAAAAAAAGTCAAACCATAGTCTGGGGACAATTTTTCTATCGTTTTATTCCCCACATCCCAAGTGGAGTTCTTGTTTTCTCTGGACACCCTCCGCGCAGGATCTCTCCTCCTCCTCCTCCTTCTCCCTCTCCTCTCCTCTCCTCCTCCTCCTCATCATCATTATCATCACCACCACCACCATCATCATCATCATCATCATCATCATCATCATCATCATCATCATCATCATCATCATCATCATCATCATATTCATCTTCATCTTCATCTTCATCTTCATCTTCATCATCATCGCACTCATCACCACTCATCATCATCATCATCATCATCATCATCATCATCATCATCATCATCATTATCATCATCATCATCATCATCACCACTCACCCACCCACCCAACCACCCACCCACCTACGCACTCACTCATCCACTCACTCACCCACTCACTCACTCACTCATCACCGTCACTCGCTTATGTCACCCGAGTAAGTCTCAGGCGGGAGCCCCCTCCTTAAAGTATCAAGCGGGAGCCTCGTCTGTGACTGAATTGTGAGGATGTCTCAGGCGGGAGCCCCCTCCTTCTGGGTCCCGCACTTCATGTTGGTAATCCAAGCGGGTCATCGGCAACCTGTAATTGTCGCCACTTCTGGGCTCCTCAGGGCTGAATTTGGAGGAAGTATCAAGCGGGAGGCTCCTTTGTGACTGAATTGTGAGGATGTCTCAGGCGGGAGCCCCCTCCTTCTGGGTCCCGCACTTCATGTTGGTAATCCGAGCGGGTCATCGGCACCCTGTAACTGTCATCACTTTTGGGCTCCTCAGGCTTGAATTTGGAGGAAGTATCAAGCGGGAGCCTCGTCTGTGAGTGAATTGTGGGGAAGTCTCAGGCGGGAACCCCCTCCCAATGGGTCCCGCACTTCATGTTGGTAATCCGAGCGGCTTATCGGCAACCTGTAACTGTCGTCATTTTGGGGCTCCCCAGGTTTGAATTTGTAGGAACTATCAAGCGGGATCTTCGTTTGTGAGTGAATTGTGAACCAGGCTTGGGTTCATGCTGTCTCCTGCCTGAGAGCGGCTGCGCCCCGCTCGAAGTCCGCGGGGTTGTCCCAACGGCTTGGCCCGCGGGGCTGTCCCGACCGCCTGCCCCTGCGCCCCAGCGGCCCGCGGGGTTGTCCCAAAGGCTTCGCGAACCAGCCGTCGGGGAATGCGCGCGCTCTGGCCGCGGCGGCGACGGCGCCGAGGAACATCGATTTGCTTGCCCCGACCAGGGGGGAGGGCAGGAGCGCGCGGAGAAGAAGCAGGGGAAGGACGAAGATGGGGAAGGGGTAGGGAGGGGTGATGATGAGGAGGAAGTGGAGGAGGAGGGGGAGAAATAGAAGGAGGGGGAGTAGGTGAGGGCAGAAAGGCGGGCGAGAGGAGAGTGTCCGTCAGGGCGAGGAGGAAAAGGACAAGTGCACGCGAAACATATTCTCATGCGGGGTCCTTCCGTCGGAGCAATTCTGGAGTTTTTTTTACCATGTTGAATTCTTCGTCCAACGTCCCCCCTGTAGGGGGACAGGCCCGACTCAAATCCGAGCCGAGGGTGCTGGAGTCAGCCAGGGCCAGCGCGTGCCGAGAAGCAGGAGGGGGGCCGAGGGCCAGGCCGAGGAGGGCGAGCGCCGGGGGGCGGCGGCCCGGGCGGGGCGCGCGCCGGAG